TCGTCATCGTCATCGTCATCGTCGGCATCATCATCATCAGCACCATCGTCATCATCATCGACATCATCATCATTGTCATCGTCATCATCTCCACCATCACAACCACCCCAACCACCACCACCATCATCATCATCACCATCATCAACATCATCATCATCATCATTATCGTCGTCGTTGTCATCATCATCGTCATCATCATCGTCGTCATTATCACCATTATCACCTCCACCCCTATCATCATTAGTACCACCCCCCCTCATTATATCATCATTGTCCTCGTGATCGTCATCGTCATCGTGATCGTCGTCGCCATCATCCTCATCATCATCACCATCATCATTATCATCATCACTATTATTATCAGCATCATCATCGTCATCATCATCCTTACCATTATCGTTGACATCACCACCACCATTTCCATCACTACCACCACCACCATCATCATCATCATCATCATCATCAGCATCAGCATCAGCATCAGCATCAGCATCAGCATCAGCATCATCATCATCACCATCATCATCGGGACTCACGCGAGACGACATCGCGACATTACGCGGTGGCTTACGCGGGCCGCCAACGCGGCACGCCACATTGGAAACGAGGGCATTTACGCGCGACCTTACGCGGACAGCTTACGGGCAAATGTCGGCGCAGGCGACACCGTTTTTCTGCGTCGCTCGAATGGGGTCCGAGCAGATGGGGCCGGCTCCACACCGAGCCGCATCGCCGATGAATCGGCGCGATCCTCTGACCCCGTGTGCTCAGACCCCATTGTCTAGGGTTCCCAACTTCGCGCTTCGCGCTCCGCGAAGCGCGAATAACTTCGCACTCTCGCGCCGCCCCCCCACAGGAAGAAAAGGAGGACGAGGGGGAAAAGGAACGAGGACCGGCACGCGCGAATAACTTTGCGCCCTCGTGGGATCCTTTGCGTTTCGTGCGTTGCCACAATTTGTCCCTGGCCAGAGGTGCCTCTGGCTTTCGCGCCACTCTGGAGCTCCTGGGGCTCCCAGCTGGGCCTCGTGGGGGGTGCCCTGGAGCCCTCCCTGGGTCTCGCGGACCGGAGGAAGGGGAGAGGGAGGAGGAGGAGGAGGAGGAGGAGGAGGAGGAGGAGGAGGTGGTGGTGGTGGTGGCATGCTATAAGAAATGGGGGCCATCCAGTATGACGTAAATCTCTAATCGCAGCAGCAGAGCGAGAGGGCAGGAAATCAGGCAAGGACGATGACAAAGTAAACCTCGCACACGGAGTATATCTACGTAATTCAAATTAAATTCATTCCCCAAAGTGTGCTCCTCCTCAGATAACACATACATCCTCAGACACTAGCAGGTTTGCTAGACTCCCCCAGCCGCCATCGTATGTATTCCTCCTCATACGCCTTCCACGCATATCTATCTAGAACTAGCTCCACCCAGTGGATACGTCGAGTATAGTAGAATCTAGCCAGTTGGTATTCCCAAACACATTGCCATGACAACTTCTGGAATCCTTGTTTTTCTTCATATCTTTGTTCTGTAACAGCATGTTGATGCGAATTCCAGTTAAGTGCATATGCCAGGATGGAGTCAGGATTCTGAGCAGCTTTGCGTGCGATATGGCCAGCATGCCTGCGAAGACGACGCCATGCTATTACGTCCAGGTCCTGGATGTGCTCAGCAATCCTGATGTTCTTGATTTGCGATATGACCGACCGCGAATAGGACTCGTCCGTCTCTTCAGGCAGACGAGGCCAACGCATGTGACGTGCAAATTGTTCTGACTGAGCCGCTCTCAGAGCCAGTGCCGTTCGTCGGCAGAGATTCCAGACAGGTGAACACCATAGACACAACGACGATACCGTGCGGTGAATCAATCGAAATCTAGAAATGCGAGTGCTCGACGGACTAGAAAGTAAGTGCTGAACAGGTCCCACCACTGAGGTGGCCGCGAGCGTTTTAGTACGTACATCTTGATTTAATTGACAACGAGCATTCATGCAAATGCGAGTTATCTTCATCGCCTTGTCATGTGGTAGTACCTCGCAGCAGGCCATATCTTGGACCATGGATGCTTTTCTTTTGTACTATTCACCAAGAGCTGGATGCGATCCTCCGGGAGGCCCCATCCGTAAAGAAAAAGTGCAGCACGACATCTCTTCCATACCTCACGCGCGTCCACAACGCTGTTGGCCAGCATGAACAAACTGTCACTCCAGACCGCGAAGGGAATAAACCTGAAATTGCACAGTCTACACCACTTCGAGTAATCATGACCACAGTAAGCCACATCCACCAGCGAAATGCCAAGTCTATCTGCAACACATTTTTGCCATACTGGATGTAGGCAATCAGTCAGCACCATTTTGAAGAAAGCAGGCCCCCAAGCACAACCCTGAGGAACACCGCGAGTCATGGGTGATGTGGTGGACGTGCCACCCACCAAGTGAACATTATATCGGATAGAACGCAAGTGTCTGAGAAACCAAACAGCGATAAAGTCTGGTGATCCTCTCCGTTGAAGGGATTGAAGCACGCGAATATGGCATGCGAAACCAAGCCTTTGGGATATCAGCAGGCCCAGCAACAAGTCCAGTTCCACCTTGCACGCACTTCTGGGCCACCACCATGACAATGAACACCATGTCCATGACACTGTGCCCTTCTCGATAAGCAAACTGCCAGGGAGTGGCGTCATGAAACTTACCCTCAATAGATTCCAAAAGGGCTCCACCCACCATCTCGGGTGGCACAGGCATAACCGCCAGCGGCCGTAGTAAGTTGAACCACGTAACCAAGATCTCCTTCGGAACCAATGCCAAATCACACAAGGTACGTCGGGTGTCCACGCGCGCCGCCGCAACATGCAGGGGGACGATCAGCCAAACACAGTCTCTTCCGCAACACATCATGGCTGCGGTCAAACTGTAGACCGCGAGGGATAACGGCACAGAACTCACCGCGTAGATCGCGGTCAATCGCCTCTTTTAAGTGTCCAAAAGGGTTCTCCACATGATTGTCCTTCGACGGTCGCGCCACTGACATGGGGATGCGATGAATAACTCCGTTCTCTGCGCACTCCAAGAGACATGGGCAGCACCGAGTACAAGAGTGTGGTAATCCAAGTGCGTGGGGGCTACATGAATCGCAATGATCAGTAGCTTCATTGGCCAGAGAATCTGCAACCTTGTTGAAACAGCGACGGACATGGCGGACGCGTGCCCTCCCCAGCCGAGTTATAAGAGCGAGAGCCGATGAACGATAAGCCCACGTACGACTATCTAAGACAGACCATAACCCCGCAAGCTGGTTGACAACAATATCACCATCACCTTCGATGACGAGATCATGATGAACATCCTCATTCCGATACCCAAGAGCAAGCTCCAGGAAGAAGAGTAACCCATGCCATCCAGCATCGATCGAAGAGCTCCCAAGAGAAAGCCGATGAGAAAAGCTAGACGTTTCGACCCCCATAGCATCCTACAGAACGCAACCGCAACCAGCATTCTCATCATCACGCCGAGCCCCATCGAACTGTCCAACCCAGGCTCTCCCATAAGCCCCAGGGACCACATCCCCAACGTCGATAGTTTTTAGCATCGAAGAGGGGGCGGCGGCACCTTGCATAGCTACGGCCTGCGGCATTTCAGCAACAACCATATCTTCAGAGCAGCGCGACCTACGAGGCTTAAGTCGCATAGTACACTTTAGGAGATGATATATGTTGAAGGCGCTGTCTATCTTGAACTTGCCATGTACCCAGGGGGGGCGTTAAGGGGGTTAGAGCGAGATTCAGAGAACTGCGTGCTCTAATACTTCTGGCCAACATCGACAATCTCTGACGGGTTCGCGATGGGCCGACCTTCTTCTCCAGGACCCCTCAGGGCCAGTCTGCCTGAGGAGCCGGAGGCCTTCTTGTCCCAGCCTCCAGCTCGCAAGTTGTCAAGTGCAGCCTGAGACGCTGCGTGATGCTTGAGGTCTCGCAGCCGTCGACGCTCCGCCCATACTTTGCGTGCGCCTGATATCTTCTCAGCCTGAGTATAAGCCTGTCGCCAAGCAGCCTCCAGTGAATGGAGATGAACACGATCCTGACGCACTGCAGTTCGAGCACTCGTGCACTTCCCAGTGCCAACTGCAGCCTTGCCAATGGCCTTCGAGAAATCTCCCAGCGTCAAATCCGCAGAGGGTGTAGAAGCAACTCGCGAGACAAACTCTCCTGGCCGTGGAACTCGCCATCCGAGAGGTTTCTTTTCACGCCAGACTCGACATCCGTAATCGTCGCAGCAGTGCCCAGAACTTTCGCCCGCCGTACTCTCGCCCGATTTGCAGCGGAAACCATACAACCATCAATAAATGAGCCTTGGTGCAAGGTTTAATCCGATCCAAGCGCATGCATGGTAGGCACTCCTCCCAGAAGACAAAAGGTGCGAGAGAAGGACAGTCCGCACTGCATTGCAAGTAAGAGAAGCCACTCTCCACGTTCATTACGTGCGCCGCCAGAGAAGTCCCCAATATACAGATCCCCCTCTTGAAGTTCCTTGGGCCCGAGCTCTGCATTGAAGTCAGCGCCCAAGATAGTCGCATCACCAGGCATATGATGAGTAGAGAAGTAGCCGCAGATGAGGTTGGAGGCGTCGTAGTAGCACTCATCAGAAGCAGGTTGAGGAAGTTAAGCTGAGACGAAGAGAAACGAGTCGTCCTTGATGGTGGCCCTTGCCAAAGTTACACGAGGACGTATAGGTTCCGAGGCAGCGTGAACACAGCGACGATGCCGACGATGAAACACAATATCACGCCCACGATTCTGCAATGCGCCTGGAAGCTTGAGGCGACCGCAAAAAACTTCTTGCAAGCGGAGCACGTCCCATTCGCACTCTTCTGAAATACTCCCCAGAAACCCATTGCACATCTCAACAGCCACCCCGCAGCAATTGAGCGTGACGACGTTCAAATTCTGAATGATCTTCTTGCCCCAAGATTATGGGAGTCTATCTCTAGCCCCGAAACGAACGGCGCGCCTGGAAGTCCTGCTTACTCTGTTCCACATTATGCTGGAACGTCTCGTCATCCTTGAGATCTGCCTGCTTCAACTCGTCATTGAAGTTGGCCAATGTGAGCGTCGGCGTGCCAATGGCGCTGATGTATGCCACCTGCTTTCGCTGGCCCATCTCATCAGGGAGCCTGATCTCACGCTGAGGAAAAACAATCTTGAAACGACGTCCTTTGCCCTCGGCCTGCGACAATACAATAGCCAGATTCACCAGTGTGGAAGTCATCTGACGTTGTTCCATTGACTGATGCTTCTTCATCCACAATCGTAGTCCTGGGAGCGGCGGGGCACCGTCACCTCCAGGAGCAGGAGTACATTGAGCCTTGCCGCTGTCCGCCCCGTCGAAGTTGTCCCGACCCACACACTCACGATGCTTTCCCAAGAGTGCCCAAACCGCTCGATCATCCCTACAATACACAGCTGCGTGATTCCCAGGAGAAGCACACCACTTACGTGTGATGGCTGTCGGGTCGACCATCGTGCAGATCTTGTCCAGATACGGCAACATCTCATCTTTGTCCGAAGCCCCAGGGAAACCTCCTATCACAATCTTCAGAGCATCATCTCCCATAGGCTGACCAGGGCGTGCTGGTCCAACATTTGTAGTCGCCACACACGCAGGCCTGGAACCAGCCTGAGCCTCCTGAGCGACACGAAGATCATCAACGGCCATCTTTTGAACACTCTGCGACGCCTCCACTGCCGTGTCTGCCCTCTTGTCCACAGCCGACAAGTCCTTCTGCATTTTCTTGAGCTTAGTGTTCACATTCCTATCCATCCCCTTATGTACTTGAGCAGGTCGGCGTTCGTGATTTCACGAGAAGGTGACCTGTCCGCACCTCGTTTATCCTCATCATCAAACATACCATCAGAAGAAACAGGAGAGCCTTCAGCTCCGCGTTTAGACATCAGCGAAATAAGTCGACGAACCGTCCGAGCGCGAGGATGCGGCAGGCGCTGCTGATGCCAACGATGCTTGAGCCAAAATGGAGGAGGAGGAGGAGGAGGAGGAGGAGGGGGAGGAGGAGGGGGAGGGGGAGGGGAGGGGGAGGGGGAGGAGGGGGAGGAGGAGGAGGAGAGGAGGAGGAGGAGGAGGGAGGAGGAGGAGGAGGAGGAGGGGGAGCAGAAGGAGGAGGCCTCCCTGGACGCCCGGGTGACACCCTGGGCCCAGGACACCTCTGGCGGCACCCCGACGCTCTGACATCCGCCAATGTGATTTTTCACTCCGCGGCCCCAGAGGTCTCGACCCCTTCCCCACTGGATCTATCTTTGATGGTCCTGGGGCACGGGCCCCAGGGGCCGAAGACGAGGACATACGCCCAGATTGAACGAGCCATGTCGTCAGAGATCTGGGCATGTGGGAGGCCCATCCCCCCCCCGGCTGTTGGCATTTCTTGTTTGTTTCGCGTCGCGCGCCCGCGACTGTCAACACTCCCTGCCGACTGCTTTGCGCAGAGTGGGCCTGAATGAAGATTTTAAGCTACGCAATGAGAGGGGGTGCATACCGAGCAAACCGTGTGCCAGGAATTCACTGGACATCTTGCGATGGTCGTCCGTGACCAAGATTTGCCAAACACAACGTGGACCGGCCGAGCCTGGTCGTCGTGCGCAAGTCGGACTATCCGAAGCAATCCGATTGTACCCCTATGCTGAGGCCCAACTGAAGGGCCACCTCGGGACTACTGTAATTTCAAATCTAGCATGCACATTGTCCTGCCATGATGAAGACTAAAACACGTGTTTGTTGAAAAAGAACACGCACATGCTGACTGACCAGTCGGCATACATTCCGATCCGCAGCGCAGGCACTATCCGGGGGACGGAGCGGGCGTATAGTTGTTACAAACAGTGCTGTGCTCATACATAAATTATACATATATATATATATATGTATACACAGTCGACGTAATTCGCAGCTCGTATGGCGGGTCACCCCACGCCCGATCAGGAAGCAGATGGATGGATAGAAGGAGGAGGAGGAGGAGGAGGAGGAGGAGGAGGAGGAGGAGGCCCCCTCGTCGAGGCCTGGCGGGGGCGAGCGTTTGTGGCCTGCCGCCCTCCGGGAACGCTCGGACACAGCACCGCGCGCGCCCCGAGCCATCGCGCTCTCGCGCTCTTACGCTCTCGCGCTCTCGCGCCTTCGCGCTGTGCGCCTTGCGCTCAGGCGCTCGTCGGTGGTCGGCGTCGTTGCTCGTCGGCACTTCTGCCCCAAAGAGCAAAAAGGGGGAGGGGTGGTTACACATCCAGCGCATCGTGCTCCTCGGCGCCGCTCGGGAGCAGGAGCGCGCCGGCGCCCGCCATGGTCATTGCCACCGCGCCAGCGGCCAGCATTGCGGGGAGTGCCAGCGTGGGCGCCGCGAAGCTTTCCATCGCAGCGAGCGTCAGGTGGGTGAGCTGCTGGCCGAGCACGAGGCCGCAGCTCAAGAGTGCCATCTGCAACGCAGTGCTGACAGGGAACCCCTGCTCCTCGGCAGCCCTGTTGCTGGCGGCGATGGAGCCCCAGGGGATGCCCTGCGCGCCCACGCAGGGAAGCACCGACAGTGCCATGCAAGCCGTCGCGAAGTCGGCGTTGTGTTTCACGAAGAAAGCGGCCGCGTAGCTGACGCCAGCCCCGACGATGATGCAGGCGGCGTAGACGCCCTTAGGGGGGAGCGAAGTCCTGTCGAGGGCGACAACGAGGAGCAGGGACATGAGCAATTTCAGCAACGAGCCGCACTGCCCCCCGTACGCGAACGCCTCCTGGCCCGAGGCGTACAAGCGATGGGCCTCGGAGCCCGGGGACGCGACGGAATCGCCCGCGAACACGCAGAGGCTGAACCACTGCACGGAGTACGAGAGCCACACCGTCGCGCCGACGAACACCAGGCAGTGCACGCTGGCCAGCCGCCTCAGCAGGAGGGAGCTCCCCCGCACGGCCTTCAGCACGTCCGACACGGGGCTGGACTGCCTGGCGGCGCCGTCGCCCGCCAGCGGCATCTCCACGGCCGCGGAGAGCATGACGGCGACCGCCGCCGTGAGAATGCAGCACACCACGACCATGATCACGAGCATGTGCTTCGAGAGGCCGCCGTCGTCACCGTAGACCTTCATGGTGGAGAAGCCGATCAGGAAACCGACCGCCTGGAAGCAGGCGACTGTCTCCCCACCGACGTTATCTCTGGATGACAAGGTGTCTCCCCTTCTTTTCCTTCAGCACGTTCTCGGTCCCAGTGCGATCTCTGATGGCGCAGCACGCACACGCACTTGCCCTCGTAAGAGTAGAGAAAGGGAGGGGTATGGGTCTCAGGATGGACTGGATAGAGAGTGACTGAGGATTAACAACAAGTGAATAGAAGAAGTATGGCCTTGAGCCAAAATGGTTACAGAGGGGGCCCCGTCCCCGATTATATGGTTCAAGTCCAGGGGGGGGGGGGGGGGCGAGGGCTACTCCCCCCACCCGATGAGCTAGAGGCGCCCATTTCCAGTCCCCCGGAAAATAATGGACTTGATCGGGCCTTCGCCTACGCAACCATTGGCTTGCTCGGAATAAACTCTGACCGAGACAGGCAAAACGTGGAGGGTACCCTCCTCGACTGCTATCGAAACACAGCGCGGCAGAATGGTATTGCCCTGCTGTTCTGCAACACCTGTAAAGAGGCCCTGGCCAAGGGTGTTCTCACGAGGCGCCACTCAAAAGCACAGTGCGCGACGCAGCCTCAGGCTGGGTCCGAACAAAGGGGAAGAAGACGAAGAAAGGAAACCGACGACCCCAGCCCAACTGCCTTCTCGATGCGGCCCCGGAACGGTTCTTGGCCACGGGGCCTCCCCTGCGCCGTTGCAAGGACTGCTCCTCGGCCGCGAGCCGAAGAAGCCCTGATTTCAACAGGTGGAGCTGAGCAGCGTTACGCTTAGCCATATCTGCCTTGGTGGGCCAATCGACCGGAAGGAGCGGATGAGGCATCCACCGCATCGACGATCCGACCCGATCCGTGGTGCCTCGTAGGACCGCTAAGTCTATCGCGGCTCGGCGGTCGGACTGGGCCCCGGAGGTCAGCTTGGATAGAGCGTCGTAGATCCCCTTCGCATCGACGACGCTCGCGTTGCCAGCTGGCTGGGGAGGGCCTAACACTTTGCATTGGTCTTTCAGTAAGGTAACGAAAGGACACCAGGATTCTCTCTCCAGCGCTCGTTCACCACATTACCACGGGTGACGTCCAACAGAAGAATATGCAGCCATTCGGCTTCGCGAAAAGCACTGGGGGGAGCCAAAGTCTCCCCGGCCAGAGTCTACGCCACTTGGCGCCGAAGTTTCCCGGACCTCCAGGCAAAGGGAGTAACTCGGGCCCCGGATCCGTGAGCCAACGAGTTATCGGCCATGTAAATTTGCCAGGCCTCCAGAGGATGCTGAGGCCCCCATGTATCCTCGGCCCCCGCCCATCCACAATCGCTCGCCGTCGCCAGCACAAAACCGTTTGGCTTAAACCTCCAGGCGATGATCGGGAGAGAGGCCGTCGACCTGAAATGGTCAACCATCTTGTTGGCATCCAGCAAACCTTTCACGCACGGGCTGTTGACTTTTTTGGCCAGGATTGAAGCCGCTCCCGCGGCCACGGCGCGGGTTTCCCTTCCGACCCACTGGAGTTTGCAAACAAGGCTCCTGAAAGCCGCGACCTCTCCTCCCACCAGTGGGCCCGCGTGGTCCCCCCTGCGCCCCCTGGCCAGAGGGACCTTGTGAAGCTGTTCCAGAATGTATTTCTCCTGATCGACCAGTATCCGGTCTCCGGTGAATCGAAGCCTGCGGCTTATGCATTCTACCCCCGCAGCATCCAAGAGTTTCATCTTCCCGAACGTGAAACGCCCCTGAAAAGGGTCCAGGTAGTTTTTCTCTTTGCCCTCCCTGAACGCTATGGCCCAGTCATCTACTTCCACCAGCACCTGCGCCTGCAACTCGCCGCGGGCTCGCCCCACGAACCAGCAGGGCTCGAGCGTAGTGCGCTCGAAGCCCCGCGACTTCATGAAATTGGCCGTGGCGCGGTGAAAGGCGAGCGGCGCGTCATCTAGGCCGTAGACGGGCGCTATCAGCTCGATGAGTGCGCCGGGCGGAACCGGGGCTCCGTCGCGCGGTTCCACGAACACTTGGCCTCGAGCACGCCTGAGAGGTTTGGATTGGCAGAAAGCATGTTTGATGTCCCCAATATAGATGGTAAGACGGTGCATAAGAGACGTCACTAGAAACAACATGAGGGCCACCATGCATGGGGCAGGGGCGTAGACTCGGAGTTCTGCCGTATATTCGTCCTGATGGCCCCCGACACACCACCTCGATTGAGCTTTCTCCTTCGAAAGGGTTCCCTCTTGCGGTTTCCACCTACGAGCCATGCGACTCGAAACGAACCGGCTCGGGAATAACCGGCGCAGCTCACTGGCTTCCTTGGGGGAATGAGCGATCACAGCCGTGGTTCCCTCGGATATGGCTTTCCATTCGTTCGCATCTGAAATGTCGAACTCCCTCTTTTCTTCTGGGCTGAGACGCATATATTGGACCTCGGCTCCCCGATTGGCCAGAGGGGAAGGGGGGGCGGGCCCGTTTTCCCCGGGTGCGATTTCCACATCGGCGTTTCCGTTGGCGTAGGTCTCCCTAGACCCACTCCATCCCTGGGATTGGATTTCATGTTCTAACTGGTCGAGAAGGTCGACCTCCTCGTCCATATGGGCGAGAAGGGCCATCGCCGTGCCTCCGCCGTTCTCGGCGCTGTCTCCTCCCCGCGGCGAGTGAGACCTCTGTCGGGCGGGGGCCTCGAGCTCTCCAATCTGCTGTCTCACTGTGCCCTCCTGAACTCCCCGAAAGGCATCCCCTGGAGTGCGAGCCATTCTACCGCTCTCTCCATCCACGCGCCTAAGTCCCTCGGTATCCTGCATCAAGCGAATGAGCCGACCAGGGTCTACTGGCTCCGCTGAGCGATGCTGAGAGGCAGCATCGGACAGCGCAAGCCTAGGGGCACTGGCAGGCGGAACACTGGCTGCCGAGGCCTCAAATTGAGGGCCGTCGGGAGAGACAACACCTGGCTCTCTGTCTCTCTTTTCCCCCTGCGGGGGAGTGGGCTTTGAGCGAATGGCGCGGCCCGAATCGCCGTCTCGCTCCGTGACCTTACGAGCTCTCTGTGACTGCCCGGATGTCTGCCTGGACGGCCCGGACGAGACCGGAACCTCAGATCTATTCTCCAGTGATTCGGGGGCTCGTGTCCCTTCGGAATGAGCTGGGAGGGTCACCTCTTCAGGAACGGAGCCAGACCTGGAGGAGGCAAAGGTGGGAGAGCCCGGGTTGGCCTCCTAACTCCCCCTTTCTCCTGAAACAACAGAAGGACGCACTATGTCAGGGCCCTCCTCTGCGGCGGCTCCGCCATCGGCCTCTACAGCAGGCGCCACCTCAGGGGAGGAGGCGACCTCTACAGGAACATCTGGAGCCCACGCCCCGGGGGGGGGGGGGGGGGCGGCCCCTCGCTGGAGACGTTCGCCCCAGCCCGATGCGCACTGGTCTGGGCCTCCCTGAGAAGCTGTTGGACAGACGAGTCTGCGAGAAGGGCCATCGCCGTGCCTCCGCCGTTCTCGGCGCTGTCTCCTCCCCGCGGCGAGTGAGACCCCTGTCGGGCGGGAGCCTCGAGCTCTCCAATCTGCTGTCTCACTCTGCCCTCCTGAACTCCCCGAAAGGCATCCCCTGGAGTGCGAGCCATTCTACCGCCCCCTCCATCCACACGCCTAAGTCCCTCGGTATCCTGCATCAAGCGAATGAGCCGACCAGGGTCTACTGGCTCCGCTGAGCGATGCTGAGAGGCAGTATCGGACAGCGCAAGCCTAGGGGCACTGGCAGGCGGAACACTGGCTGCCGAGGCCTCAAATTGAGGGCCGTCGGGAGAGACAACACCTGGCTCTCTGTCTCTCTTTTCCCCCTGCGGGGGAGTGGGCTTTGAGCGAATGGCGCGGCCCGAATCGCCGTCTCGCTCCGTGACCTTACGAGCTCTCTGTGACTGCCCGGATGTCTGCCTGGACGGCCCGGACGAGACCGGAACCTCAGATCTATTCTCCAGTGATTCGGGGGCTCGTGTCCCTTCGGAATGAGCTGGGAGGGTCGCCCCTGTAGGAACGGAGCCAGACCTGGAGGAGGCAAAGGTGGGAGAGCCCCGGGTTGGCCTCCTAACTCCCCCTTTCTCCTGAAACAACAGAAGGAGGCACTATGTCAGGGCCCTCCTCTGCGGCGGCTCCGCCATCGGCCTCTACAGCAGGCGCCACCTCAGGGGAGGAGGCGACCTCTACAGGAGCATCTGGAGCCCACGCCCCGGGGGGGGGGGGGGGGCGGCCCCTCGCTGGAGACGTTCGCCCCAGCCCGATGCGCACTGGTCTGGGCCTCCCTGAGAAGCTGTTGGACAGACGAGTCTGCGAGAAGGGCCATCGCCGTGCCTCCGCCGTTCTCGGCGCTGTCTCCTCCCCGCGGCGAGTGAGACCTCTGTCGGGCAGGAGCCTCGAGCTCTCCAATCTGCTGTCTCACTCTGCCCTCCTGAACTCCCCGAAAGGCATCCCCTGGAGTGCGAGCCATTCTACCGCTCCCTCCATCCACACGCCTAAGTCCCTCGGTATCCTGCATCAAGCGAATGAGCCGACCAGGGCCCACTGGCTCCGCTGAGCGATGCTGAGAGGCAGTATCGGACAGCGCAAGCCTAGGGGCACTGGCAGGCGGAACACTGGCTGCCGAGGCCTCAAATTGAGGGCCGTCGGGAGAGACAACACCTGGCTCTCTGTCTCTCTTTTCCCCCTGCGGGGGAGTGGGCTTTGAGCGAATGGCGCGGCCCGAATCGCCGTCTCGCTCCGTGACCTTACGAGCTCTCTGTGACTGCCCGGATGTCTGCCTGGACGGCCCGGACGAGACCGGAACCTCAGATCTATTCTCCAATGATTCGGGGGCTCGTGTCCCTTCGGAATGAGCTGGGAGGGTCGCCCCTTCAGGAACGGAGCCAGACCTGGAGGAGGCAAAGGTGGGAGAGCCCCCGGGTTGGCCTCCTAACTCCCCCCTTCTCCTGAAACAACAGAAGGAGGCACTATGTCAGGGCCCTCCTCTGCGGCGGCTCCGCCATCGGCCTCTACAGCAGGCGCCACCACAGGGGAGGAGGCGACCTCTACAGGAGCATCTGGAGCCCGCGCCCCGGGGGGGGGGGGGGGGCGGCCCCTCGCTGGAGACGTTCGCCCCAGCCCGATGCGCACTGGCCTGGGCCTCCCTGAGAAGCTGTTGGACAGACGAGTCTGCGAGAATCTCCGCTCCCCGGGATTCTTTCGCCGTGGCCAACCGGACCTGCTCGGCGGAAGAGACGGGGCCTCGTCGCCGCCCAAACCGACGCGCCGTTTTGCAACACCGCGTGTCCCGGACCAACCCACCTGCCCCTTTGAAGGGCGAAGGTTTTCTGGCCCCCCCGGGGAGCCCGCCTCCAGACGTAAACCCACTGACCTGGGGAGAAGTGCTTATCCCGATGGATTGGTGCGTGTGCTGCTTTGGCCAGCCGACGTTGGTTGGACGACTCGAACAGTTCTTTTCGGGCCAACTTTCTGATGGCGCCCCTGCGGGCGAACTCGGCCGCCGCGGTGTCCTGATCCCAAGAGCCAGGGGATAAATCATCCGCTCCCACCACCTGCAGGGGGTCGCCAGACGCGATGTCGTTGGGCATCCCGGGGTCAATGCCAAAAACCATCTGGCAAGGAGTGAACTCCTCCCGGCGCAGGCACCGATTCTTCGCAGCCGTCACTTCGTGAACCAGCGTTTCGAGTGCCAGCGTGGTGGTGACGAGGGTGGTCTCTGAGGCCCGAACCAGGATGTCTTTGACCCAGCCCCCGTGCCTCTCGGCCTGGCCGTTCTGCCACGGACTTTCGGAGCCCGTGACATGCTGAAAGACCCCCAGATGTTCCAAACCTCGTTCGAAATGGCCCCGAAACTCAGGCCCTCCGTCCGTAATGGCGAAAAGAGAGCGCCCGAAGGGTCTCGCCCAGGCCCTCATGAAGGCCCTCCAGGCCCCCATGGCCGTACCATCGTACATTTCCACGACTTCATAGTTGGTCACCTGACACATGACACTGGGAAACGCCATCTGTTCCTCCTTAAAGGTGACATAGAACGTATCTAGCGCGATGATACGATTAAACTCAAACGTTCTAGGCACCGCCACAAGTCGACTGCTAGCCGGACGAGAGTGCGCGGCGCAATCGCCGCATTGGTACTCGTCCTGCACAAACTTGAGCATTTCTGGCTTAGCCTGGGCGCCTCTGAGAACCTTCAGAAAGACGTCTTTGCGGGGGTGACCTAAGTTGACGTGAACCTTATGTATGAGCCGTCTGACCCTCGGGGTGACCTCAATGGGACGATCCTGGGCCACCCCCTCTGGTTCCGGATCGCCCTCGAGGGCTTCGCCCTCTTCGGCGTCGGCCGGATAGCTCTTGGCAAGGTGCAGCTCTGGCCCCCCTGCCTCTCTCGCAGTCCTGATTTGTCCTGGAGACGTCGCTGGAAGAGCCGCATTCGTGCTGGCCCGAACGGCCTCGGCCAAAGCTCGGGCAAACTTTGGCGGATGCACCCGAGCTCCAGCTGTCATTGAACTGCCACTCGGATGAGCGTGCCAATGGTCACCAGCGCACCTAGAGCCGGCAAGTCGCTCCAAGAAGGCATCACAATTAGACATTAGCCTCGTGGGTTCTTCGACAAGGCCCCATCTTCCGTCACCGATTGACCGAAACGACAGATATCAACGCACATGGACCCAACCCCAGGGAGTCCCTGTATATAGCGGACCATCTCGGTCCTCCAGGACCCTGCGGTGGCCGGGTGTTCGAAAGCGAACTTTCCCCCCTGTTGGCGCTGCTCTAAAGCCACCTCCATCGCGAAACCAAGCAAAACGATAGCCTCAGCGTTCTTGCGGCGCTGCTCCGGAGTCGTTTCTAGATGAGCCGTACCATTGTGCGTTATGGGGAAGGCGTCGCGCGGGGTTCCAGGATGGTCATCCAGGGTTTCTGCTTTCGCTGAAAAGTGCAAAACTCTTGTCGGTGCTGTTCGTTTAGAAGCTCCCATCCTCCTTCCTTGTCGAAGCTGCCCAGGCACACCACTCCGGCGTGGTCAGAGTAGTGAGCGATCCTAGGAGGAGAGAAGACCTCGACAAAGGCCCGGCTCCTAAGCTGGGCTCTGTAAAGCTTAGCTTTGTCAGAGCATCCCCATCCTCTCTCAGTTTTCTCCTTTCCCCTTTCGTTAGGTATACCTCTCGATCGTCAGGCCACTGGTCCCCAAAAATGGTGTCGTCAAGCTCCGGACAGTCGAACGTCGTTCTGCCGTCCGTTTCCTGGATCGGTTCAACCTCGAACACCCTGCCCAGTTCCTGAAACCGCGCACTTGAACTGATTTCGAAAATGCTTCGGTGGTTGGGACCCCCTATCCTCGTACTGGAGCTGCCGTGGAGGCCCGAGTGCCGGCTCAGGTCCACTTGCCGCCGCCCGCGTGGCCCCGCGTCTTCCGCCCAGTCTGCTCCCACCCCTCCTTGGCCAGGCGCTTCTTCTCGGCGTCCTTCATCTGCTGCTGCTGCCTCCAGGCCGCGTCTTCCGGGTTCTCCGTCGGCATCCACGGGTCTCCCTTGGCGGACGAAGGCCCCGCCGCCGAAGGTCTCGTCGGACGCTCGACCCTCTGCTGAGGCTGCTGACCGCCGTCCTGCATCGTGCCGCTCTGCACCCGCGTGAGCTGCTGGGCCGACGCCACTGGAGCCGTCGCCGGGGGCTGCTGCTGCGTGCCCCCCGGCGTCGATGGCATCGCGAAGCTGCTGATCGTGGACGACGAGAGAAGAGCTCCCTGCTGATCGCGAAGACCCCGAGGGTTGTCCACCCCGGTCTTGGCGTAGCCGACTTGCGGAGGCCATGCCGCACTCGAGGCCCGATGAGTCACGGAGCCAGCGCCGTGCGACGGGTAGGCGCTCACCACTGGAGCCGCGCCGACGAAGCCCCAGCCCCCCTTTTGAGTCGCGGCCGCGGCCGCCGACGGAGCCCCACACCTCGGAGAGGGCACAGCTGCGATCGAGACTCCGTGGGGCGGCGTCTGCAGCGGGGGGGGCTGCTGGAGCGCCAGAGGGGTGGCGATGCAATGATGCTCCACTCCCGCCGGCGCTTGCGGTGGCCTGGCTGTGGCTGGTCCGTGCCCCGGCTCCTCGTGCTTCACACTCGCACTTGCCTCTGGGGTTGACACTTCCGCCTCGCTCTTCTGGCCTGATGCCTGAGGCGCCTTGGGCACCGGCTCTCGGGGCGCCCTGGGGACCGGCCCCCGCGTCACCAGTGGGGGCGGTGACTTCGTCGCGGCAGGTCCGGTCAGGACCTGCGCCGTCGACGAATGCGCTGAGAGCTGCTGCGCCTTCGACTGGAGAGTCGCGACCGCCTCCATCTGGCCCGACACAGTCGCGCAGAGCTGGTTGATGGAGGGCTCCTGCTGATTCTGCTTGTTGGCGATCTGCTGCAGGAGGCGCATGGTCTCGTCGTTGCCTTCGTCCGAGCTGGCCGAGGGTTCCATCGCCGCTCTCTTGGCTGGAGATGGTGCTGCCTGTCGGCGACGCTGGGCCCTCTGCTCCTTGACCTGCTCCTCCACGTCGTGCATGATCACGTCGGGCTGCTCTGACTCGATCTGCTGATAGGGTGTCCCAGCTGCCTGAGCGTCGGCCGACGCTGGCCATGGCGGCACCGCCCCCGCCGACGCCCTCGCCGCGGGCACTCCTGGCGGAGGGGCCAGGGCCGCCACCAGGGCCTGCCACTCTGGATCGGCCCCGCCCAGCTGGGCGAAACCCTTCCCGCGCAGCGAGCAGGCGGCGGTCTGGCGCTTGCACGCGCAGGTCATCTCCTTTTTGGGCGTGGACTTGTCTGGCTTGGTGTCCTGGTAGGCGACCCGCATGGCGCGTAGCACACCAGCGCCCATGCCCATTGCTGCCAAACTCCACGTGGATGGGCACGTGGCGGCACGTGTAGAACTGCTGCGGGATCACCCGAGTGCGCTCGACGAGATTCGTCGGCCAGAAACGGCCATCCTGCCAAACTCGTCGGCCAGCTTGGAGAGCCAGACGACCACGGCGCCCACCAGGGCCGCCCACGACCTCTGGCCGCGGGTCATGGTCTGTGAAACAGGCGCTCCGGTGGCTGCGTAGGTCCACTGCTGGTGATCGCCCAGCTGCTCGCCCATCGTCGTAGGGCGGTTGGCCCGGCGCTGCGCCTCGGTCTGCTCCTTCTTCTTGCCCTTGGAGGTGGAAGAGCCGCAGGGGCCATTGACCGAGTTCACACCCGTCGACAGGTGCGCTACCGAACCCGATGTGGCAATAAGGTCGCTGGGAGATCTCTCTGTCGGGCTCGCTGGGATAGCTGGCAGCTCGAATGCTCGAGCCCAGCGGCTGCGTAATGACGAACGCGATGATCCAGCCGATCGACTGCTTGGTTCTGGCCGTCTCTCGTCTCTGAAACGACCGAAATTCACGAGCCTCTCGCCTCTCCGGTTGCCCCTGCCGTCGTACCCGTTCTTCTCCTTCGGTTTTCCTAAGTGCCATTCTGCTATCCGTAGTTCGATCCGGGAAGGCGCTAGGCTGTGTGAGATCCGATATGTCTCCCTGGGAGTTCTTGTCTTGGCCATCTGGGGCCCCCTGAACCCCCGAACCTTCCCGGGGCCCTGAGTCGGTCAGCTGTCCTGGACGCGAGGCCCCTTGGGGTTCCCGAGGAGGAGGAAGAGAACAGAACTCAGCCCTAGAGGATGACGACGGGGAGACGATGGTGCACCTAGACATCGTCTCGCTCCTGTAATCTTGCTCTTTGACCTCCGGATGCGGGCTCAGCACCGAGGGGGGCACTTGAAAACTGCCCCCGGAGTGGGCACTCCAAAATCGTCTAGGCACATCGTGCGATGTCCTGTGAGAAGCCGACGCGCGTCCGCCTTTACCCCCAGACGCCTGATCTCGATCTGGTCGGTGCCTAAGTCGATTCTTGCCCCTGGCATCCCCTGAAAACCTACTGGGAGGAAGGGCGGCGCGTCCACTTTGAGGGCGTCCAACTCGATGACCCCCATCTTCCCTTGGACGCCCGCGGGGATCAGAGCCGCGCTCAAAACTGCGATGCCCCCACCCCCATCCCCCCCGCCCCCGATTCCGCGAGCCGAGCGATTCCGGGGGGGCACCTGGGGCGCTCGCAAACCTCTCTTGCCCAGAAGCTCGCAGTGCCGTTTCAAAGCTGCGATCAGTCCTTGACCCGTGGCGGCGTCTGCGATCACCTCGCCGGGCTCGACGCTCATGAGGGTGAAGGTGGCACTGTCGGAGCCCGGGTCGTGGCGCTGGGTCGGGTCGAGGATGTTCGCATAGACGTTGGCGCTGACATTCGCGGCGGCAGCTGCGGTTGCACTCTGGCCATTCCGCGCCAGACACTCACGAGACCAATGACCCTTCTGCTTGCAATTTCTGCACATCGTCCTCTTAATCAGCTCCGACAGTGGAAGACGTGACGTCCTTGGCCTGACCTGCCCATTGGCGGCGCGGTGTCCGCGCGGCTGCCTGTGGGTGGGCTCTGGCTCGTCCTTGCTGCGGTCGAAGAACTTGCGATCGACCTTCATCTTGCGCTTGAGGTCCCTGTTCTGCTTCCACGTTTTGCGTCTCTCGCCCTGCATTGTCGCGAACGCCTGTGGAAGCTCATCGTCGTACAGTCCAGGGCCCTCCAGCGTCACGTAGACCAGCTGATCGCCGTCGGTATCTAACGATGAGACGTCGTCGCCCCCCAGGGTGGAGTCGAGATCGAGATCGTCCGTCTGCGCGGAGTACGTGGGCTCATCCTTGGGGAAACTATGTTCTGCCATGAACGATCTCTTTTGAAACGATAGATGCTCTCGACGGGTGACGTCCATCTCCCCGACTGCGGCGAGGGCCTCCGAGTAGGAGTCACGGGTCTTCATCGTGGCCCTCATCAACTGTTGGCCTCTCTCATCGAGACCAACGCCTTCCTCTAAGAACATGAACTTCCAGCCCTCTGGGACTGAAGGCCCAGAGTCGCCACCTTGTCGAATGCCAGGTCGATCAGGGCGGAGTACTCGGTAAGACCCTCTCCATGGCGACGCCTGAAGGAGAAGGGGCACTCCCTCCACCTTCTCGCCTGACAAGAGGTCCAGTCGCTCTATGATCTTGTCGGCGCCGTTGTTGGAGGTGAGGACCTCGTCCGACAAATCATCCATTTTCCTCTGAAGATCGAGAGGAAGTACTTCGAGGATTCGATCCGCATGCTTGTGTGCGGGAATGTCCGCGAGCTGCCGCCAGCGTACTAGCTGGCGTCTCCATAGCTTATACTCGTTCCAGCTGCTCCAGGCGTCTGGGCCAGCGAAGTCCTTGCCCCGCTCGCTCCAGCCGCCCCAGTCCTTCCAGGCGGAGTCCGATTTCCAGCCGTCGTTCCTGCCGGACTTCCATCAGCTGTTCCGGTCGGCGTTGTCCTCGACACCATCTGAGGCGTCTCGCTCTCCGGCACGTCTCCGGCTCCAGGGGTCTTCGCGCTGCCACGGGTCGGCGTCCTGATCTGGTGCTATTCCACTGGCCCGTCCCTCGCCTGCTGCGTCGGTTGCCCGACCTGCTCGGCTGGACTCTTGGACCTGGTCTCGCACCATATTGATCACCTGCTGCAGCTGCTGTGGCGACAGTCCCGTGGCCGGGTCCGGCCGTGCGGGTGGCAGCGCCTCTGGTGGCGCTGGCCTCGTCGCTGTCACAACTCCCATCTAGCAGCGTTCTGATCTGCTCCTCCGAGAGGCGGAACTGGCCATCCTCATCTGCCCATTGTCTTGCTGTCCCCAAGGCTGCCGCGATAGATCCCTGGCCTGCCGAGGCTGTGCTGTGAGGCGAATTAGCAACCTGCTCCTGGGACATCGTCGGGTCCGCAGAACCGAGCCTCTTCAGAGGCTCCGCTACCACTGTCTCCCCACCGACGTTATCTCTGGATGACAAGGTGTCTCCCCTTCTTTTCCTTCAGCACGTTCTCGGTCCCAGTACGATCTGTGATCGCGCAGCACGCACACACACAATTGCCCTCGTAAGAGTAGAGGAAGGGAGGTATGGGTCTCAGGATGGAATGGATAGTGAGTGACTGAGGATTAACAACAAGTGAGTAGAAGAAGTATGGCCTTGAGCCAAATTGGTTACGGAGGGGGCCCAGTTCCCGATTATATGGTTCAAGTCCAGGGGGGAGGGCGAGGGCTACTCTCCTCACCCGATCCATGAGCTAGAGGCGCTCATTCCCACAGCGACCAGCACCTGCACCTGCACCTGCTGGCCGCTCGACGCGAGGTCCGCCACCAGCACACTCATAGGCGTCGACAGCGCGTTGAGCGCGATGTCGATCAGCCACAGCATGCAGGCAGCAAAGCCTGCGGCCGCGCCGGCGGGCACCAGCGCCGCGCTGGAGGCGAAGAGGAGCCCAGACACCCACAAGGCACCGAGCGCGGTCACGATGATGGGCCTCCTTCGCCCGTAGGCGGAGGTCGACGAGTCGGACAGCGCGCCCACCAGCGGGCAGGTGAAGAAGCCGCAGATCGGGCCCGCCATGTTGTTGAGGGTGGCCGAGGCGGGGCTCATTCCGAGCGCCACCAAATAAGGCGCGCTGCACGGCATGATGACCGACCACACGACCGTGATCCCCATGCACGGAAGCGCGACGAGGCCCAACCGCCACACTGGCCACTCCCTCTCCGCTCCCGCCTTGCTGGCGCACCCTGATGGCTCCGTGTTGAGGAGGGCGATCGCTTCCCCCCGCCCGTTCGACCTCAAACGCGCTGGGGTGCTGATGAGGGCGAGTGCGTCCCCCTGCCCCTTCGTCTGCGCCATCGCACCGACCGCCGACATCTTAATCGGCCACCCCCCTGAACAGCGGCGGCGTGCCCGCTCGCGCGCGTCTGGGCGTGGGCGAAGGTTGGGATGCGGGAGCTCCACGCGCAGGAGGCCTTGAGGCAAAATGGCTTCGGAGATCTGGACGTGTGGCAGGCCCAGATGCCACTCCTCTGCGACCCCCCCCTGGGCGGAGGCACGATTGAACAAGTCAAGTCGTCGAAGATCTGGGCATGTGTCGGGAGCGGCCAAGAGGGGGGTGTCCAAGAGGGGGGGATGCAAATCATGACCGGCGGCCTGTGCGCGGCCCAGCGGGGGGGGGGGGCAGGGGCGTAATGCAATGAGAAGGGGCGCCATGAAAACTGGGGAAATATCATGGCCCCCGCCATGATATCCACCCCCCCCCTCGTCAGCACCCCCCTCTCTGCCGCCCCCGACATCTGGCAGGCCCAGGCCGCTGCTCCGAGACACCCCACCTCTGAGGCCCCGCGGCCGGAGGCGCGACCGCGCGGCGCGCGGCGGCCCGCGGCAGCGGCAGCCCGCGGCGCCGCAGGGCGGAAAGCCAGGACGAGGACGGATTCGGACGAGAACGAATCGGAGATCTCTGAGATCCAGCGGCTCTGGAGCAAGGGCTCCCAACTTCGCGCTGCGCGCTGCACGAAGCGCGAATAACTTCGCGCTCTCGCGCCGCCACCCCAGAGGGAGAGAAGCAGGACGAGGAGGGGGAGAAGGAACGAGGACCGCGAAGCGCGAACCACTTCGCGCCCTCCCTCGCGGGAGGCCCTGGAATCGAACGTCTCTGAGATCCAGCGGCTCTGGAGGGCGTGAGGGGTGCCTCGGGCGCCGGGCATCTCGGCGACCTGTGGCGCGCGGCGGTGCGGGGCCGCGGGGGCCGGGCACGACGGGTGCTCGGGTGCACGGCGCGCCGGGGCGCCGTCCCCGCGGGGCGCCGAGCGCGCAGAGGCTCTTCTTCTTCTCTCCTCCTCCAACTCCTCCTCCTCCTCCTCCTCCCTCCTCCTCCTCCTCCTCCTCCTCCTGGTACTAGTCCCCCTCCTCCTCCTCCTCCTCCTCCTCCTCCTCCTCCTCCTCCTCCTCCTGGTGCTGGTCCCCCTCTACAGGGGGACTAGTGCCAGATTTGAGTCGGGCTTGTCCCCCTACAGGGGGGATTTTGGACGAAAAACTATTCACTGCGTGGAGCTCCCCATATGCACATCTATTCGCATGGACCAGTCCGCCGTGAATGTCTAGGCGCAAGAGCTTTCGAATATAAACGGGCTTCAGTTGTGACGGTCTGGTCATGAATCTAACTGAGCACGAATTGGAGTGTGAATGAGCCTCAGTAGTACGAGCCCGTCTCTGCGCATGAGCCTGGGTCCTCCTGGGGCCTCCTGGGGCCTCCTGGGGCCTCCTGGGGCTTCCTGGGGCCTCCAGGAGACTCTTGGGGCCTCCTGGGGCATCCTGGGACCTCCTAGGGAGGATTCGTGCCCCAGGAGAGGCCCCATCTATAGCAACAGACGTACCTAATACATTGCGGGGAGCCACAGGAGAAGGGGGCAGTCTATTGGAACACACATTATCCCGGCAAAGCAACCTAACAGCGATGTGTAGAAGCATAGCTGGAAACATTGCCTGTGGTATTCATGTAAGAGTGCTGTTGTAGAATTCTGGTGTTCTCGCAGTCGCATTCGGATTCGCAGTGGCAGTCGCAGTGGCAACATCAGCGGCAGTCGGGGTGGCACTGCCAGTAGTTGCAGTAGCAATAGCTACACTAGCAGCAGCAACAGCAGCAGCATCAGCAGTAATAGTAACAGTAGTAGTAGCAGTAGAAGTAGTAGTGATGGTAGTAGTGGTAACAATGAAGTAGTAGTTGTAGTGTGTGGAGTGAACGAGTAGGAGTGATGGGAGCAGTGGTAGTAGCAGTGGGAGTAGTGGCTGTAGCCAAGAAGGCTACGGGGACGATGATGATGATGAAGATGATGAGTCTTGGAAGTCTGGGAAGTGGAAGAGCACGAAGTGGCGTACAATTGGCTCCGGGCATTCAAAATGTGGCCCGGGAGTGGAGTTCTGGGAAGTGGAAGAGCACGAAGTGGCCTACAGTTGGCTCTGGGCATTCAAAATGTGGCCCGGGAATGGTGTTCTGGGAAGTCCAAGAGCACGAAGTGGCCTACAGTTGGCTCCGGGCATCCAAAATGTGGCCCGGGAATGGAGTTCTGGGAAGTCGAAGAGCACGAAGTGGCCTACAGTTGGCTCCGGGCATCCAAAATGTGGCCCGGGAATGGAGTTCTGGGAAGTCGAAGAGCACGAAGTGGCCTACAGTTGGCTCCGGGCATTCAAAATGTGGCCCGGGAATGGAGTTCTGGGAGGTCGAAGAGCACGAAGTATGTGACTGTTTGCATAAAACCGGCCCTTTCCTGTCCGGCTCCCGCCCAGACCCCCCTGGGGAGTCATCAGATGCTTTTTTTTGACCCCATTAGAAACCTATCAGTCTTCGCTGTTAGGTAATAAAACACCAAGGATTCGTGCCCCAGGAGAGTTCCTATAGGAACATCAGTACACAGGAGAAGGACAATACATAGAAACATACGTATAACATCAAGGATTCGTGCTCCAGGTAAGGCCCAATCTATAGGAGCATACGTAAAACACATGGGATTGGAGCCACTCCTGTTGCCTTGTGAGGCCTCCTGCTCCTGGGGCCTCTCGGGGCCTCCTGTTGCCTTCCGAAACCTCCTGGCGCTTCCTCTGGCCTCCTGGGGCCTCCTGTGGCTTCCTGAGGCCTCCCGGAGCTTCCTGGAGCCTCCTAGAGCCTCTTGGGACATCCTGTGGCCTCTTGAGTCTTTCTGTGGCCTCCTGATGCCTCCTGGGACCTCATGTGGTCTCCTGGGGCCTCCTGGAGCCTGTTGGAGCCTCCTGTGGCACCCTGAGGAGAATCTGTGTCCACGAGTCTGGCCACCGATCGAGACATCCTCAAAATCTGGCCCACCTGGGGGGTGAAAATGAGCGCCTCGCTCGAGACATCCTCCAAATCTGCTCCGAAAGCGAAGGATGTTGGGACAGAAAACAAATGAGCCGCTTGAGATATCCCCACAAAACGGCCGCGAACGGGACCGTGAGATAACCCCTGGCGGCTCCCTTTAGGGTGGTGAAAATGAGCGCCTCGCTCGAGACATCCTCCAAATAGTCTGGGTATGAGGAGGAGGAGGAGAAGGAGAAGAGGGAGAAGAAGGAGTAGGAGGCGTCCAGGTAATAACAAGAACCCCATCTTAGGATATGGGGAACAACAACTAATCCAAAAATACCCTAAGATATTCAAAAGTGGTTAGACAAACATCGTCCCCAGACTGTTGTTATACTATTCTTGAACATTCTTCCTGTAGAGGGACAGGCCCGACTTAGTACCAGATGTCCCACTTGGAGGCGCGCGTCCGACCCGAACATGCAGTGTACCCATCTTGTAGCGTATCGTTTCCCGAACGGTGTGGCCAGAAAAGGCCGGCCATGCCGCACAGGCTATGAGATTTCTCGGTGGGGGGCGACGCACACTTAGTGTTCGTACAGTGGAGACCAGCCCACAAGAGACCTCCCACAAGAAACCCAACCTTGAGACCCCAGGACGTCCATGGATTTTTAGTGTTGGGGCGTCACGATTTCCATGGCAAAACCATCGAAACCCAAAAACCCAGGGCACCCTGGAGGCAGGCAGGGTGCTTCTTGGCACGGGTCTGCACTGTATGTCGGGGTGACGCCGACAAGCGTTGGCGCAGAGGCGCCGAGCATTCGAGCGCGCAGGCCAGTCGTGCGCGCAGGCCAGTGCCGGGGGGACTCCCAGGATGGGCCCGCACCAGAGGTCACTCTGTAGAGGCCTCCTGGAGTTGGTCCGAGTAGATGGGGTCGGAGGATCGCGCCGCATCGCCGATGCATCGGCGGTGCATCGGCGGTGCATCGCCGATGCATCGCCGACGTCGGCGATGCATCGGCGACGTCGGCGTGGGGAAACACGGGCGCCACATCGAGCCACATCGTCGATGCATCGGCGATGCGGCGCGATCCTCCGACCGCATCTGCTCGGACCCCATCCAGGAGGCGACCACAATGATGGGCCCGCACCATAAAGTCACTTTGGCGAAGGGCCACTCTTATGCGTGCAGCCGGCGCTGCCGCTACTCCACAGCCCTCTCCCGGGCCGCGTTCTGACCGGAACTTCGAGGACACTCCAGCCGGGGCGACGAGGGCCCTCCAGGACGAGCAGCGGCACCAGTATCTCCTCCTCCTCATCCTCCTCCTCCTTGGTCCCCTGTTTTCGGGCGCCTTCTTCCTCCTCCTCCTCCTCCTCCTCCTCCTCGTCCTCCTTCGTGCTCCTCCTTTCCTCCTCTCTCCTCCCTCCTCCTCGCCTCCTCCCTCCTCCTCCCTCCTCCTCCTCCTCCTCCTCCTCCTCATCCTCCTCCTCCTCCTCCTCTTCCTCCTATTCCTTCTCCTCCTCCTCCTCCTCCTCCTCCTCCTCCTCCTCCTCGCGTCTTTTTCCTTACCCATACGTCCGCCCTGCGGGCGATAAGGAGGTTGGGGGGGGGATTGAGATCAAATGCCCACCCTGACTGACCTCCAACATGTCACCTTGATATCATCTCTCTCTTTCTCTCTGTCTCTCTCTCTCTCTCTCTGTCTCTCCGCGTGGGTGGGATATGGGTGGGAGGGTGGATTGGATTGGGTGGGATAAGATAAGATGGGGCAAGATGGGTTGGATTACCCCAGTGCGACCCTACCTAGAAGTTGGAGCCCCTAGGAAAGCAGCAGTCGTTGCTATGCTATGCTAAGTTATGCCATGCTATGTTGCGCTATGCTATGCTATGCTATGCTATGCTATGCTATGCTATGCTATGCTATGCTATGCTATGCGATGCTGCGCTATGATATGATATGCTGTGATATGATACTAGAACCACGCGCGCGCTTCGCGCGCGCTTAGGTTCTAGCTAGGATCGTCACCGTCGTCATCATGAACATCACCATCGCCATCGTTCCCCCCGCCAGGGCTAATGTACATCGTTTCTGGATGCTTCTGGCCGGAATACGAAAGGAGTTTCTGTAGTTAGAGTCTCTGGGGGAAGTCGCGGGGAAGCTTTTGTTGTATTTGGTGTTGCGTCGCCAGGAGGTCTGGGCTCCCTCCTCCTCGTGTTCCTATCTCCTCTCTGGACGTCCGATGTCGTGATGCTTTCTGTGCGCGGCCCCTGAACCTCTCGACGACTTCCTGGGGATGTGTTTTTGTTTTCATCCTGAGTCGTTTTCTGACGGTCCCGGGACCCTGCGAGGGGCCCCGGAGGCCGAAAATTGACCGAAACCGCCGTCGTGATTTTTCCAAGACGTCGGAGGTCCAGGTCGTGCTTCCCGCCTCCCCAGACCTCCGACGTCGTAATTCTTGCGACCTCGGGCCCAGGAATCGATTGGGAAAACGCACATGGGAAGGCAAGAAATGATGGACCCATCATTTCGTACCTGTGCCTTGATCAGTGGGACGGGCTTCGCACCGCCGCACATCACAAGACACGCTCGAGCGAATCCAGCCGTGGCGACGTCGGGGACTGCAGAAGGTCGCAAGGACACGGAATATGAAAGAAAGAAAGAGAAAGAGAGAGAAAGAGAGGGAGAGAGAGAGAGAGAGAGACAGACAGACAGAGAGCGAAGGAGAGAGAGAGAGAGAGAGAAAAAAAAGAGAGAGAGAGAGAGAGAGAGAGAGAGATGGAGAGAGAGAGAGAGAGAGAGAGAAGAAGACAGAGAGAGATAGAGAGGCAGAGAGAGCAAATGGAGAGGAGGCGAGCTTGAGTCAACGAAAGTCGCAGGGAAGGGGGCAGGGGAAAGAAGGCTAGAGAGCGCTGAAGGATACAAATACTGGAACCCTCTTGGGATTTTTTGGGGGGCCTCGTCCGGCCGCTCGCTGGGAGTTTGACGTAGCTTCTTGGGAGCCTCTGAACCTGTCGGGGGCCTCCTGGAAGCAGGTTCGAAGCATTTGGGGGGCCGATTTGGGGCTTCTCGGGGCCTCCTTTGGGCCTCTTGGGGGTCTCCTGGGGCCTCTTGAGGGGCCTCCTGGGGGCCTCCTGGCGGCCTCTTGGGGCGGAAGGCTCGAGCTTGCGGTTCGTGGTCCCCCTCTGGGCCCCCTCTTGGGCCCGTCTTGGGGCCCTCTTGGGCCATCTTGGGCGCCTCTTGGGCCGTCTTGGGGCCCTCTTGGGCTGTCCTGGGGCCCTCTTGGAAGCTTCTTGGGCCGTCTTGGGGCGGTCTTGGGCGCCTCTTGGGCCGTCCTGTAACGTCGGAAAGCCCAAAAGGCAACTTTGTTGAAAATGTACGTTTTACGAAGGGAATGGGCAATTTTTTGCGTCTAGGGGCCCTCTTGGGACGCATGTTGGAGGCTTCTTGGGGCCTCTTGGGGGCGTCCTTGGACGTCTGGAGGCCATCTTCAGCATCTCGGAGCCCTCTTGGAGGCCTCTTGGAAGTTTCTTGGGCCGTCTTGGGCGCTTCTGGGGCCCTCTTGTCTGACCGGGGAGGCCTCCGGCAAGCCCCGACGAGCCTCCGGGCCCCCCGGAGCCCACATTTGCGGTCGAGGTCCCGGCCCCGGGCCCCCGGACCCGGTCCCCCGTTCTATGTATATGCTAAGCTATGCTATGTCATGCTGCGCTGTGCTATGCTAAGCTATGATATGGTATGCTAAGATGCGCTATGCTATGCTATGCTATGCTATGCTATGCTATGCTATGCTATGCTATGCTATGCTGCGCTATGATATGTTCTGCTATGCTATGCTATGCTGCGCTGTGCTAGGCTGTGCTGTGCTGTGCTGCGCTATGCTGTGCTATGCTATGCTATGCTGCGCTATGCTATGCTATGCTGGGCTATGCTATGATATGCTGTGCTGCGCTATGATATGCTACGCTATGCTATGCTATGCTGTGCTCTGCTATGCTAAAGCTCAGCGAAGCTAAGATGAAGGTAAGCTAAGCTAAGCTAAACCTGAGCCAATATAAAGCTAAGCTAAGCTAAGATGAAATAAGCTAAGCTAAGATGAGATAAGCAACGCTAAGTTAAGGGGACGTAAGGGGTTGAACCAGGGGGCGGATGCTGGGGGAACCGCCCGGGGCGAGGACCACTGCCCGGCCCTTTAAGCACAGAGGGTAAGAACCCTTCTAGGCAGAGCCTAGGTAGGGAATAATATAAGATGGATTGGATTGGACAAAATGGATTGGATAATATATGCTGGATTGGATGAGAAAGCCCGCCGCAGGCGCCGACAAAAATGAATTGATGGATTGGGTTGGGTGGATTGGATTGGATAAGATGGATTGGATAAGATAAGATGGGTTGGATAGGAAGAAATGGATTGGATAAGATAAGCTGGATTGGATTGGCCCGCCGCAGGCGCAGGAACAAATGAATTGATGGATTGGGTTGGGTGGATTGGATTGGGTGGGATAAGATAAGATGGGACAAGATGGATTGGATAAGGTAAGCTGGATTGGATAAGAAAGCCCGCCGCAGGCGCCGGAAAAAATGAATTATGAAATTAGCGACATGCGTTAGCGCTGGGACTCCAGGGACACCTGGGACACCCAGGACACCGCCCGGCCCAACTGGGACACCTCCGGGCCACCCGCAGACGGGAAACGAACTTTCGCTCCTACTGACACCCGGGACACCCGGGACACCGCCCGGCCCAACTGGGACACCTCCCAGCCACCGGCGGACGGGAACGGACTTTCGCTCCTACTTCGGCCTAGCTACAGGAGGATCACGCGCAGCTTCGCCTCGCCCGCACGCACGACACGAACACGAAACCGAAACCGATTTCCCGGCGGGGGGTCTCCGTTTCACTGCGATCTCACCCCCCAACCTCCGATAACTAACTTGTCCCTGTCGCACCCCGAAGCCAGTTTTTAGGGCGAGCCGGGCGTTTCGCCTGAGACACCCTCGCCATTTATGACTCTGAAGTTTCAAAACTGCAAGAGCTTCGCGGATTAGGGGCGGGTGGTTTTCAAAACGTGGCTCTCGCCTTAGCGCTGCGCATATTCGTTTTAAGCATTTGCAATCGTTTCACGAATTGAGGGCGGGTCGTTTTCAACATGTGGCTCTCGCCTTGGCGCCGACCTTCGCTTTAAGTTAGCAGGAGTTTCACGGATGAAGTGCGCGTCATGTTCAATGTGGCTCTCCCCCGAGCGCCGCGCACACTCGTTGTAAGCATTTGCAAGAGCTTCACGGATTAGGGGCGGTTCCTCTTCGAAATGTGGCTCTCGCTCTGGAGAGCGCGCTTTCGTTTTAATAACTGCAAGAGCTTCACGAATTGAGGGCGGTTCCTTTTCAAAACGTGGCTCTCGCCCTAGCGCCGCGCACACTCGTTCATAAAATTTGGAAGAGTTTCACACCAGAAAATGCGTTTTGGAAGGATTCAGCAACGTTACAGTGCCTGCCGGCGCATTGTTTTCCGTAGGTGGGCTGTGATGCGGTCCCTCTTCGTGCCTTTTGCGGGCGCAACAATAATGTTCATTCGCGGTGTTGAGATCCCGAAAATGGCGTTCTGGCACGATTCCGGTTCGTCAAAACGCAGCAATCACGTTGGTCCGTGGCGTTGAAATCCGAGACAACGTTTTGGCATCTTCAGGGTCTTCAAACGGTTGTCTTCCAACGAGGCAGCTCCCTCAGTGGAACTGGACCGTCGTATGGGGCCATGAAGAGGGAGCTTTGAGGGAGGGATACTTCCAACATCGCTGATGATTATTCGGTTTACACTGGTCCTCCTCCTCCTCCTCCTCCGCCTCCTCCTCTCCTCCTCCTCCTCCTCCTCCTCCTCCTCCTCCTCCTCCCCCTCCTCCTCCTCCTCCTCCTCCTCCCTCCCTCCTCCTCCTGCTCCTCCTCCTCTTCCTCCTCCTCCTCTTCCTCCTCCCCCTCCTCCTCCTCCTCCTCCTCTCCTCCTCCCTCCTCCTCCTCCTCGATCTCCTGTTTTCGGGCGCTGGCTCGGGTCTCAGGCGGCCAGGCAGGGCGATCCTGGCACCCCCGGAAAGCCCGTGACGAGGCGCAGCCGCTGGGAACCGTCCCGGGGCCTCGAAGACCCGCGAACATCTCCGACAACCTTGCGAAAGCCGTGCAAAAAGCTCACGAGAGCGGAGCCGACCCGGGCCTCGAAAACCTGCTAACATCTCCGACAACCTCGCGGAAACCATGCAAAAACCTCGCGAGAACGGAGCCATCCTGGGCCTCGAAGACCTGCGAACATCTCCGACAACATTGCGAAAACCGTGCGTGCGCACACCTCGCGAGAACGTGCGACCACCTTTTCCTCCTCCTCCTCCTCTTCCTCCTCCTCCTCCGACGGGCTCCAGCTCTGAGCCGCCAGCTGGAGGCCTTCCTGGGCCTCGTGGACCGGAGGAGGGGGAGGAGGAGGTGGAGGAGGAGGAGGAGGAGGAGGAGGAGGAGGAGGAGGAGGAGGAGGAGGGGGAGGAGGAGGAGCTCTGAGCTGCCAGCTGGAGGCAGGATCAAGAGGAACACGGCAGCAGCCCGCGCGCACGCTCAATCCCCCCTCTGCTAGCCTGCGTCAGCGCCGCCAGCTCGGCCTCTGGGAGGGACCCGGGTGCGCGCTCGTCCTCGCCGTCGTCGCACTCACCGTCGTCGTCGTCGTCGTCGTCGTCGTCGTCGTCGTCGTCGTCGCCGCCGCCGCCGCCGCCGCCGCCGCCGCCGCCTCCGTCGCCGTCGCCGTCGCCGTCGCCGTCGCCGTCGCCGCCGCCGCCGTCGCCGCCGCCGCCGTCGCCGCCGCCGCCGTCGTCGTCGCCACCGTCGTCGTCGTCGTGGTCGTCGTCGTCGTGATGGGTGTAGTCGTCTTGTCTCCGACGGCGCCCCCCGTGGGGGCCGGCGGTCTGCTGTGAGCCGCCAGAAGGCTGGCAGCCGCGGAGGCGTCCTACAGTCAACCCGCATGATAAGGACGCACGACAAGGAGAGCATCCAACACACACGAAGGTCAGCAGGGCACCCTACCCGAACCGACCTCGAGCCCTTGGTCTTAGACCTCGGTCCGACCGCAGCCCCGTCCCAACTGGTTTTCGGCATACAATTCGGGCCTCCAGCGGCCGTTCGGGGCGATCCGGGCACCCCGGAACGCTCCTGGCGAGGCGCAGTTGCTGGAGAGCACCCCGAGGCTGGAATCCTGCCGAGACCCGACGAAAACTTCCGAAAACCTGAACCTGGAACCTCCCCGAACCGACCTCGGCCTTGGACCTCGGCCCGACCGTACCCAAGACGGTCCTGACACCTCCCCAACCCCAAAGATCACTCCAAGGTGCCCTCCCCCAGGATGCACAAGAAACACCCACCAAATACGAAGAACAGTAGGGTTCCTCCCCGAACCGACTTCGACCTTCTTTGTATCGGAGATGGACAGAGTCCCCTTCAGTAGAACGTGGTTTAGTGCAAACGACATCGGCCCCAAACCTGGCGGGCGCCAGCCTGGAAAATGACGGCCGCGGCGCCCTCTCGAAACCCAAACCGGACAACTCACGAATCGACGCGTCAGGGTGTGAGGTCTGTCCACCCCCTACTGTAGATCTCGGCTCCTCCCCAAAACGCAGTCGCAGGGGGGCTCCGCTTTGGGGGAGCCAACGGCAGAGGGCGCGGGTCTTCGGATCCGGCCGCCCCCGCCTGCAGTGCGAGGCCACTATGCCAGAGCGCTTGGCGGCGCGCAGAAAGGGGGTAATTAGCGGGAGGCCTCCACCGCCTCCTCTTCCTCATCTTCCTCATCCTCCGCCTCCTCCTCCTCTGCGTCCACCTGCTCCTCCTCCTCCTCCTCCTCCTCCTCCTCCTCCCCCTCCTCCTCCTCATCATCATCATCGTCGTCATCATCATCCTCCTCATCATCCTCATCCTCATCCTCATCCTCATCCTCATCCTCATCCTCATCCTCATCCTCATCATCATCATCATCATCATCATCATCATCATCATCATCATCATCATCATCATCATTATCATCGCGACGCTCAATCAGTCCAGGACATTTTGTGTATTTCGAGCCCCTGCAGGCACTGGCAAGTGTTGCGTCTGAACTCGCCGCGGGTCGTTGGCATACAACCCGTCGTTGGGCGTAACCCCGTTGGATGTCATACCAGATGCGTCCGCGCTCAGTGCCTGATTCCATGATCCATCTGATCCCCCTGCAGGTGTCCCCGCTTGGTAACCCTCTTGCGTCATAAATATGGCAGTGAACTCGACCCCCTGCATGGGCGTCGGCTCGGGGACCTTCACGTTGTAAGGAGTTTCTGGTATAAACCAATTGCACAACGTGGATGCCTCATAGGCAATATCGTATGCGTGCTGTGGAAGGGAACTGTCAGCGCGCAGGTTTCCCTGCTCATTCTCATTGATGTACAAAGTATGGATCCACACCTGTCCTACTCGATCGTATCTGCATAGGGTCCTCTTAAGCAAAATGCCTATGAACTGGACAATGTGGTTTGGCGGGATCCTGCCTTCCCGGCCTGCCGCCATGATAATATCATTCGCGGAACGCCAAATTGGGGTACCATCGCAAAATATGGCTCGCCATAGCCAATACTTCGGAATCGACACGCAGGCCAGACTTAATTCTGTTTATCTCCATGTAAAAATGTGCATCCATGGATCAACTGTCTGCCCCTTTCATTAACAATACCATCCGCGCGGCATGACGGCCCGACTTGAAGTACGTTCGGGATATTGACCCATCTGGCACCATGGATAAAATAGCAAGGTGCCCCTGGCGATGACAAATCGGTTGCTCTTTTGCACGGGGACTCAGGCAATTTATGCCAGGGCTACTATGCTCATTACTTGGACGCAGAAACTACGTCGGATGAGATTCTCCAATGACCTTGAGCTTCTTTACCTGGGGCCTTTTCTCTTGCATACCTGAATGGTCGACCACGCCAATCAGGTCCAACGCTGCCAATGCTTGATATGCCCCATGGCGGTCACTAAGGCACCTCTGGACACTCAGTTCTCGTGTAGCCCTTGGGCGGTCAGTTGTCGAGGGAGTCCGCGAGCTCTACCCAGCCGTCGCACTCGTCAAAGGAAGGAACCGACGTCGCAAACCGATCGGAAGCATGGTTGCGGTGAAACGGCTTCTGGCGAGTAGCTGTGGTGAGCCACTCCGAACATTCACGCTGTTCCACTTCATGCAATATTGCTGCAACGATGCCCGGTTCCTTGGGCATCCTCTTCAGGCACTTCTTCACAAAACCATAGCTGAGAGCGAGTTCCTTCCGCGAAACGTTGCGGACAACCTGGCGCGCGCGAGCTGCGTTATCAGCGCGCACGGACGCGCGCTGGGCGTCGTGCTGCACCGCAACGTATCGGCCAGACCGGTCGTCGATGAAGGGCTTGTGCGCTGGGTTGATCTTCATTCGATTGGCAGTGCCCAACTGCTCCCAATATCGCCTGCTTTCCTCAGGCATTCCGAAAGCAACGGCGGGTTGCCCCGCAGGAGCAGGAGCTGGCTCGCAATGCGTCCTTACTGGCTCAGATGCCGCAGTTGCTGCTGGCGCTGCCGAAGAGCTGGCGCCCCCGGATGCCTTGCCCTTCTCACCAATGTTGAAGCACTGGCGCCCACTGCTCTTGGGGGCCGCTCCCGATGCTTTTGAAGGGGTTTCCAGTGTCTTGTACTTAGCACCGCCCTTTGGTGAAAAGGCATCCTCGGATGACCCCTCCAGCGACGGCGCCCGGCTTGTCCTGCGAGTCCGGCCAGGCGCAGGGCCGCGACGCGGTGCAGCATCCTTTGGAGCAGGCGCGCTAGCGCCCTGGAGCGCTGCTGCCGCGGCGGCCACTGCTGGTCCTCTGGATGGATGTCTCTCAACGGGTTGCCCCGCAGAACGCTGGAACTTGCTGCTGCCCGGGTTGGGATCATCTGGACTATTTCTCTTCACCTGTTTAGGCGGCGGCGAAAGCTGATCGGGCCCGCGCGACTTGGGCCGGCATGAAGAGTGCGAAGATGGGGATGTATCGATTTGTTGATCTGGCTTCAATTTGAAAAGAGGTCCCCTTGGCTCTGCCGCTGCAGGTTTCCCCGCCGAGGAGCGTCTGGCCCCTCTGCCGGGATTGGGGCCCCCCTGTTCTCCAGGCTTTATGAATGCAATGTCCTTGATATTGCCCTTACTCTTGCAGTTCAAGTCATGCATATCAGCTTCAACCTTTCTTACAATAGGAGTTGTTATCCAACCTGCGGTTAAGGCGCGGCAGGCGACTATTCTGCCTGGGGAGAGACCCATATCGTCCGTGACCCTGTCACAAAGATGTATTATTGTGTCGGCAACGTGAGTGTAGTCCGCGGCAGAGGTGCAGTCCGTGTCGAAGTAGTCCGAGACTGACCCTGAGGGAGCAGCCTCGGCGGGGTCCAGTGCCTTGGCAGGGGCCTGATTACCTGCCGCTTCATCACCTTCTGGCTGGTCGGCATCTTCTTGCTTGAACGAAGCGGGTCCCCCCGCGCCACGCTCACGATTGAATATCTTATGGTAGGGATTCGGAGCAAGGTTCTCCCATATCTCTTCGGTACGAGCTCTTTCATGCACATCGCCTGGCTGGCAATCAAATCCCGCCAACTGTTTGCTCTTTACGCGGGCATTTGGTCCGATCTGTGGCGCGACCCAGACCATCGCCACGGGGCCAGACCCATGGTGTTCTTTCGAAGCTAGGGCTTCTTGACGGACGCCTCATCGGGCAACCGGGTCTGCGGTCGGCGCAGTCAAAACAAGCACAGACAACGCCTCGGTAAGTCTTCTGTTCTTCAATAATGGCCCTCTTGAAGTCCCGTCTCTGGAGGGCCCCTGTGACTCAGTGCCCGCGCCCCTGTTGGCGCGGGCGATCTTGCCTATGTCGCCCCGCTCAACATTGCGAAGTGAATGCCAGCGGCGAATGTCATGCTCGGACCAGCCTTGGTCAAGCCAGCATTGCATTGGATCGGGGGGTATGCGCTGACGAGCTAGTCCACGATCATCACGGCTGACAAGGCGCCGCGCGCCTTCTGCCGGAGACGCGGCTGGGCGGTCACCCCCTTGAGGTGGGTTCCCCGCGAGCGGTCCCTCCTCGGTGGGGCCCCACGTCTATTACCCCTCCTTGGCGGGGTCCTCGGGGCCCTCGCATCGCGAGGGCGAGGGCGCCGGTTGCCGATGGAGCGAGCGCCGCTGGAACGCGCGCGCGAGCGCCCCCGTGAATGGCTGCGGGCGCGACCATGGCGCTGCGAGCGCTGGTCTTCAGCTCCCCACTCGTCGCCATCGCCATCTGAGCAGTTCGCGCGTCTCCGCACTTGGCGGCTCGTTGTTCTCCCCTGGCGGCTCGGAGACCGCCTCGTAGCCGCGAGTGTAAACTGATGGTCTTCGTCACGTCCAAGTTCGCGCTGAACGCGCTCCGAGAGGTCGCCAGCATCTCGCGGGTTCCCCCGCGAAAGATCGTCGTCATATGACCACATGCCTGTCGGATTACCAATAACCTGAGGACGAAGCATCATTTGCATTCCCCCTTCTGTCGCTGAAGCTGCGGCCTCGGAATCCACAGGTGCCCCCCGCAATATCTTGACCTACTTCAGCGGGCGCAA